AATAAGCACTCAGGCTGCATTTTGTTTTTGTATTTAAAAGTATTAAATTGGTAAATGTAATTTATTAATTAAAAATAATAATTAATACTATGTTTTTGACAAAAAAAATTTTATACAATTTTTAAGAACATAAAATATAAAACAAATTTAGAAAAATTTTTTTTAATCTTCTTATTCAAAATAATTGATAAAAAAATAATAGCATTAAATAATTAATATTAAAATTTTAAACATATAATCATAATAAAAATTTTTTTAAACATATAATACATAATAAAAGCATTGACAAAATTTAACAGCATAGCTTTGCATGATTATGAAGAAAACCATTTTAAATAGATTTATTTACTGATTGAGTTAAAAAAAACGTATATAGCAAAAATATTATATCATTGTAGTGAAATGAAGCTTGTTAAGTCTTTTTATCTCTTAATTATTACATATGAATTGTTACACCTGATGCATCTGATTCTTTAAGAATTTAGCTTTTGACATTTACAGCTTTTTTATTACAACAAAATAAATACAAAAATAAAAGTTTAGAAAAAGAATGTTTGAGGATGGATCAAAGTATATTAATAAAGGATCAAGGTATATTAACTTAGAATGGCTACATTAATAAACTTTGATAATTTTAAATTTGTTTTCAAATACTCTGTATGCTTAGGTGGGTTATTAAGGGTACCATTAATTGGAATAAAATTATTTGAACCATTTACACGTAATGTTGTCATATAGACTAAGTTATGACTAACAAATAACTTACAGTATAATAAAAGTTATGTATAATAAAACTTTTTCAGAGTATTAGTGCAGTTTTATGATTGTATTTTTTGTAATTTAAAGTTTGTAAAACAATTTTAAAATTGTTGACTGAGAATCAGTTCATAAATCTGTATTGTTGTTATTGAGTGTGCAGCAAATAAACCTGTGTTGTTGTTATTAAATGTGTAACAAATAAATCTGTGTTGTTGTTATTGAGTTTACAACAAGTAAATCTGTGTTGTTATTGAGTATGCTACAAATAAATCTGTGTTGTTGTTATTGAGTGTGCCGCAAATCTTTTTATTTTTGCCACACAGCGTTTTAGTTATTCTTTTTTATTCACTTTGTAATGTTAATGCTGATTTTTAGTTGCTCAAGAAGTATGCTGATTTATCAGATCCAGCTGAAGAATTATCATTAAACTCTGTTAAAACAAGGTTATATCTTTTAAACTCTGTTAAAACAAGGTTATAACAAATGTTTTGAGTTATTATAATATATTTATAAAATTAAAAGATGATCTGAAAATTTTAATTTTGCAAAATTTTAATTAAGCCCCTCTACAAATATTTTCTTTTGCTTTGTCTTATCTGATTACATTATAGTCATAATATGCTTTTTTTTCTTCTTTTTTTTTATTAGTTTTATTTTATCTATTTATTTACTAGAGGTACTGAACATAGACTTTAAGTTATAAAATTACTAATTTAACATTTGTTTAACAAAATAGAGCATTAATATGGCATTGAGAAAAGAAGGGACAATAATGTTTTGTAGCCATGCCTTTTACAGTGATTACAGCTGCACAGCAGTAATTTTACAGTGATTACAGCTGCACAGCAGTAAGGCATTGACTCAATTAATCAAATAATACCAGCAGGTGGAATTTTATGCCATTGTTTCTTCAATGGTTTGAAAAATGCAGTTTTATTTGAGTATGAATGCTTTTGAACTTGACGATCTAGCATTTCCTATAAGTGTTCAATTGGTTTCAAATTCATTTAATTGAGATGACCATTTTAAAACGCTAACATTTGAAGTCAGAAACCACTCTTTTAACAACTTGGATGCGTGTTTGGGGTCATAATCTTGCTGAAATATCTAATTTTGTGATATTGTTTCTTTGACATATAATAATTGTTTTCTAAAATGTTCTTGTAAATAGAAGCTTTTATATTTCCTTTGACCTTGACCAATAGAATGACTTCTTGTGCAGAAAAAATTTTTTTTTTTATACCAATACAACCAAAAAATCCCACATCATATGGTCTTCGAGTCCCATTACTAGGACTAACATTTGGTAGATTTTCATCCTTCATTATCAAAAAAGTCATTAACTAAAATAGCTACTTAAGATGTAAGGTTGTTGAGAAGATCAATTGTAGATAAGAAACAAAACAGAATCAAGTAAAGTTTATTTCCAGTAACTTCTGGTACCCCAGAAGTTACTGGAAATAAACTTTACTTGATAGATAACCTTTATGATGGCTTTAATAAAGTGGTGAGAAAGAAATAATTTAATAATCTCAAAAACTTTCCCAGATACACCATATAAAACAAACTTATGGAGAAGACCAGCATGCTAAACTTTGTTGAAAGCTTTAGATATGTCAAGAGCAATAGCCCTAGACTCTGCGCCTATATCTAATGCACAATAAAATCTTTCAGTTACAGCAGTTAGCAAGTCAGCCGTAGAGCGTGAAGATTGAAAACCGTTTTGATTGTCTGACAGTAAGTTATTTGACTCAAGATCAGATGTGACGAATTTGTTGATCAATGACTTAAAGACCTTGCTAATAAAAGAAAGAAGACTGATTGGACGATAATTGGAGGAGTCAGAATGATCTCTAGAGGTTTTGAAGATTGGAACAACAGATTTTCCAGCAGGCATGTGTAAGACTCAGTCAAGCACTTATGAAATAGTTTAAAGAGAACTGAAGATAGTTCTGAAGAACAATTTTGTAAGGTTGTGATAGGATTGTTATCTGGACCACAAGCCGTAGAAGAGTTTAATTCAGATATGACTTTAGCAACAGATGCTGGAGTGATTTGAATGTCTAACAAGATGTTAACCTGTTTAACTGGAATGGAAGCAAGAAAATGCCATAAGATTCAAGATTCGAATTAGAAAAAATGTTCTTTGCAAATAGTTCAGCCTTATCCTTGGGAGAGGTAATAAGATCAGTCCCATGAATGAGAGATGGAAAGTTAGACCTCCCTTAGTTAACAACACTGTTGAAGATTTTCCAGGAGGCTTGACTTGGAACTAGTGAGAAGGAATAGAAGCTCCCATTCCTGCTTGAATCCAGTACGTTGTGTAGAAAATTTGAGAATCAAAATATAGTACCCATCAACACTCAGATCTGATAAAGGAATAGTAGAATTTAAATTGGTCTCAGAAAGAGCAACTGATGGAAGGTTGCTTCACAGACTATGAATATTTCTAAAAGATATTTTAAAACAGTTCTTTGATGGGGATGGTTTTTTATGTTTAATATTTTGGGTTATTTTTATGCATGGTTTAAGTTTAAAGAGAACTTGACTCAGAACATAGACCGCAACCTCCTAAGCAATGAGCTATGAAATTGTCTCAGTCCTTTTAATTTTTCATAACATAGGGTTCCTTTTGTGGTCTCGACAATGCGCACCAAAAGCATTAACAGGGACACTATCCATATGCAACATGACACTGTTAATGCTCTGATATTTTACAGCCTCTTTGAGAACTACCACAGCGTTCGGGAAATTTTACTACCAGATGGCCTCACAACCATTAAACTGAGTTTTAGAGCTGTACCCTCATTAGGAGATAACAGGAAGAGTTGCATAGCCACTATTAAGGAGGCACAAGCAAAAACCTATGAAAAGAGTAAAGAAGATTTAGCATTCATCATCCAATGCAGGAAACAATGTAACACAAGCTAGCATCTATGCCAGCCTTATAGATGAAGAAAGGGTTTGAGGCTGGTTAGCAGAATTATTCTGCTTACCCTTAAAGTCTTTGCCTCGGAGGCCTCCTATAACACAATAGCTGGATGCAGTTAACATCAGCCTGCTATAAGTTCTTTTATTGAGACACAATCTGTAGCCTTTACTCAACCAAGAGCCCCAAGGCAGGGGATTTTTAAGTTGGAGGTTGTTTCTCTGAGTCTTTGTCTAAAAAAGTACACCCTACAAGGCAGCAGAGCATGGGGCAGGTAATACTGGGTTACATGATACCAGTGGCAGGGTGATGATCCTGACCTGGAATAATTAAAAGGGGCTACTTTCTGCAAATAGTACCTTAAAATATTAGGCATGATATTTTGGTAATGTATTAATATAACTTACGAGTGAGTAAACACCACGCCATAGGTTCAGACAGAGCACAGACATACAGATAGCAACTTACAGGTGAGTCAATACCGTGCCAGAGGTTTAGACAAAACACAAATATACTTATAAAGTAGATTACAGGTGAGCTAAAACAGTAACTAAATCACCTCCAATTTTATAAAAAACACCCAAAAAGAAAAAATTTATATCACTAAAAATCATATATTACTATAGGCATGACCAATTTTAAATAGTACTGATGACAGGAAGCAAATTCTTTAGAGCTTTTGCTTAAAAAGCGAATCCCACAAGGCAGCAGGACATGGAACTGGTTGCACTGGGTTACATGTTACCGATAGAATAGTGATTATTAAGACCATACACCTGACCTGACCTTAAAGACTTGACCTGACCTGACATTTCCTATATTTCATACTAACATCCTACAGTTATTAAAAACCATTAGTGATTTTTAAAAATAAATTAGAGTACAAAATATTACTGGTCAAAAACTTTTGCACACCACTGTATGTATATATCTTTCCTCCAGCATGTCATGTAATCTACTCAAGCCATCCAATCAATGGAAAAAAATAGAATTGCATTGTAAAATCAAAAACATTTCAATTCCATATAAAAAATAGTTTAAATTAAAGTTTAAAAAAACAAAAACAGAATGTTTTTAAAGAAATTAAGATTTGAATATAGATTTAAATGGTAGTAGTAGTAATAATAACAACAAAAATAATAATTTCATAATATATTTTATAGTTGTAAAATAATTTTTTTATAGATCACTTCTTTATTATTGGGATGTTTCAACTATGCAATTATTTTTAGTGAAAGGATTGCCAAATAAAATTCAAATAACTGAGGTAATAGATTATAAATGAGTTTGTCTGCAAATTTTTTAAAATGATTTTTCAGAATTAATTTAAAATTTTAATTTAGAAACTACATTACAGTAAACATAATATCACAATACATAATGAGACAGTACATACTTTTAAAAATAAACATTTTTTTATTGTTAAATAAGTTGACTGGCTCACACAAAGAAAAGAGAATTGGCTAACTGGCACAAAGAAAAGATAAAGATGTAACTTAGACAGTGATATAAAATTTAATAGGTTTTAATAAGTATGTTATTGACAATGTTAGTAATTGTAATTTATTAGAATTATTGTAGATAAATTATAAACTTCAAATAAAACTTATGAACATCAAACTTAAACTTTTGTTACAAAATTTATATTACTATTGATTAAAATTATATAGGTATTAGTTACTGAAAAATATATCTTTATCAAGACTGTTTGATTACTTTGGAAATCAAAGTTATAGTTTTTTAAGTTTTAATTTATATATTGCTTAGGATATTAACTTATAAAGAAGTCTCATGTATCACTAAATTGGTTTCTAAAATATATTATCAAATACATAAATGCATGGTAATAATGATATGGTTTCTAGGTTTCTGTTGGCCTTGGTCACCTTGCAGTCATAAGTACAGAACGTGGTATTTTTACTTGGGGAGATAACTCATTTGGTCAATTAGGTGTTGGAGATAATGAACCTCGTAATCAGCCAACAGAAATTGAAAGTTTACGTGGGAAGTGTGTAATTAGGTCAATATGTTGTTTAAATTAGCAATTAATTTGATTTTATTAGCTTTTAAATTAAATAATAAATTTATAAAAAATTTTTTGTATTTATGTCAACATTGGATAATATACATTTTTTTTTTAATTTACACTTTAGTTTTGATTGTCATTTAGTGTTGCTTGTGGTAACTATTTTACAGCATTTTTAACAGACAATGGACTAGTACTTACTTGTGGTCAAGGTGAATTTGGATGTCTAGGACATGGTGATTGGTTAAGCATTAACACTCCAAAGCTTGTTGATGAACTAATGACATTAGATATTACATCTTTAGTAGCAGGATCAAATCATGTAGCTATTACAACATCAGATGGTAAAGTTTACACTTGGGGTTGTGGACTTGATGGAAGAACTGGTCATGGGACTGAAGACAATATGTAAGATTTTATAAAGATTGTCATGAATTTAATATTCTGTTTGTTGTGCTCAACTGACTAAGGTATATCAATTTTAACACTTAATATATTTTAATATAAACCAACAATATTTATACACAACTGGCAATTATCTGTAACTAAAATACGTTACTTAAGTATTCCTTGATACCAAGATAATTGCCGTAAGAAAAACCCATTCAAAATACCATGAAAAAAGACATCATTGCGTGACATATTAATTTACAAATATTTGTATTAAATACTAAAAGTTTATGACACACTCCCCAATTTGTAGATAAAATATCTACAAATTATCATCAAAATGTACATCAAGGACTGTTATATGTATGAGTTCTTTAGCTTTTGATTTTGCTTTTTGTTCCGGTCTTTGTTTTGTATTTATTTGCTCTTGTGATGTGGTATTGCTTTTTTTAGAATCGTTTATGTCTTTTTCAGTCTCGTTAGAACCTCGGCAGCTAATTTCCAACAGAAATTAGCTTCTGAACCAGTATTTCCACTATTTGATTATCGCTCGTTCCAAATTTAGCACCTTGAATTATATTGTCTTCTCCTTGTATAAGTTTAGTAACTATTCCAACTTAATTATTTTCTTTTCTTTTAATAAAAAAATCTCTTCCACTGCTATGACTTTTTGATTTTATTTTTTGTGTTGATGATTTTCTCATAATGATCTTAAGTACTCGTCCATCTTTTCCATGCTAAGTTCTTGCATTCCGTGATATACTTTATTGCTTGTGTCATCGTATTGTTCTTAAACTTATGATCATTGTCACCTTCTGTATTTTGGAAAAGGATAGTAATACAGTAACATATAGAATAAGTAACATAGTAACATATAGAATCATATTTAGTGTTGAAACTGGAAGTTGAATATTGTTTTTGATGTATCTTAATGGCCAGTTAATCAACATATTCTCAATATCAATCAAAACCTCTTTAAGTTGTTTGAAAGTTAGGCAAAGTCTTCCAGTTGCTTTGTGTAATGATCGTTTCACCTTACCCACCTTTCTTCCAAAGAAGCCTCCCCACCATGGACTTCTTGCTAAGTTGAACTGCCTGCCATTTTATGTTCATTTCACCTAGGTATTCATTTATCTGTAAATCCTTCTGTAATCAACAGATCAACCTAACAGTGCTAATAAATGTTTTAGCATTGTCACTTACTACAAGTAGTGGTGTCCCTCTTCTCGAAATCATTTCTTTTATCACTTCTTCCATTTAGGTATAGGCTATGTTTGGTGGCTATTCATTCTTTTTGGCCAGCCATGTTGGACCATTAAACAAGATTTGAGGAAGTTTTCCTTTTTTTATTCCTCTACTTCTAATATCTGCTGGATTCTGATTGGTTGGGAAGTGGAGCCAAATAATTCAATTTTGTTTATTAATTTCTTTGACTCAATTTGATATGAACTGCTTCCACTTGCGATTGTCATTTAGTATCTCATGCAATGGCATCAAACTATCAAGCCAACGATATATCTCAATAATTGGGTGTCCTTCAAGTGCCAATTTAACGTTTGTAAGGGTGTTAGCTACCATGTGTCCAGAAATTAATTCAAGTCTTGAAATAGATAAACTTCGTTTGGAAATGCATGATTTAGCAGTAAGTATTCCTTGAGTTACATTCATGTACTACTACATATATTGCACTGCAGCAGCCATCTTTACTTGCATCACCAAATCCAATTGCAATCTTTTTTATCATATGATCCAAAATAGTAATACTTCTTGGTATTGGTGTTAGATCTGGTGAGGTATTTTTCCAAAGCAGTCAGTTCTCTGCAAACTCTAGTGAACTTAGTTTGTCCCAAGAATAATGTAAATCACATATTTGTTGATAAATTAGTTTTGCCGTTAGCATTATTGTGGAAATTACACTAAGTGGATTGAAGACTTTAGCCAAACTTCCTAATATTCTTCTTTTGGTTAAATAATATGTTTTGCGAGTAGACCTGAAAATCACAATCAAAGTGTCATCACTTTTATCCCATAACAAACCAAGAATTTTTGAATAACATTAATGGGGTTCATTGGGGTTTACTTTATTATAGTTCTTTCCCGAATCATTTGTTTTCAATACAGGAAAATTTGAATGCCACATGTGAAAGTCGAATCCTCTTTTCAAATATATGAATTGCTGTTAGCTTCAAATTTTTAACGTATTCCATATCAATCCCTCCAGTGATTATATCATTAACGTATATGCTCTTGTTGATTAATTGAATTTCATTCTTTTGATGCAAGTAATGATTTTCATGTCAATAAATGTTGTTTGATTACTCCCCCAAGTATAAAGGGACTAGATGTACATCCAAACAGGATTCTAGTGAATTGCAGAGTTATTACTTCTTTACTTTTTAAGTCGGATATCCAATAGAAATGGAAGGTGTCATAATCTTTAGTATCAACCCTTATTTGTAGAAAGGCTTGTTTAATGTCTCTAGTTAGACAAATAGGTTGCAATCTGTTTTGCAAAATAACATAAAGTATTAAAGGTTGTAATGAAGGACCAATATGCAAACAACTGTTGAGTGAGGGTGATCCATGCTCTTTAGCAGAAGCATCAAACACAATCTTTAGCTTAGTTGTTTCAGAATCTTTTTTTATCACCTCTCGATGAGGCATATAGAATATACTCTGTCCAGTTGGTTTGATTGGTGTATACTCAATAGTTCCATCCTTGAGTTGTTCTTGAATAATATCATTGTATTCGATAAAATCATTTGGTTTCTTTTCCAGATTTCTCAGTAAATTGTGTAACCTGGAGATGCTCCCTTCTGAATAAGATGCTAGATTTGAACATTCTTCTTTCTATGGTAATACAGTGTTATAAAAACCAGTTGGGTCTTGTTGTAGTTGTTCTTTAAACTCTTCATATACTCCATTTTCATTTCCTTCACTTTGGTTTTCCAGATCAAGTATATCTAAACTGTATAGTTCTTTTTAGCAATTATTGGTTGAATATGTAAAGTATAAGCAGTCCAAAGTATTTTGTCCTGGATCCATAATTGTCCAACCATATATGGTTTCTTCTGCAATAGCTTCTGTGTTGTTTTCAGTCCTGAAACCTTTTAACATGATTCTTGCAATATCCCTAGCACCAATAATAAGATAACTTTTATGATCATCATAGTTATCTTCATTGTCTTCTGATTACCGTGAGGTTTTGTAGTTTCTTTTTTCATTTTTTGTTAATATTACATGGTCATCAAGTAGATAATTCTGGATTTCATAGCGTATAGTCACATAGAACTTGGGTCAGCATGCCATGAATTGCTTCTTGTTTTACACAAATGATTTCTTCCTGCATTATCCTATTTTTTGTAATGTCTCTTTATATGCGGTGTTCTTTTAATAAAGTAAAAATATTGCTTTAATGTTTAATTAAGTTGTTTTGTTGTTCGTACCAGTAATCTTCATTAATGTCTTCATTGCCAGCAATATCTTCGTTTCTTTTTTATTCTTCTATGTTTTGGATCAAGTTAAAAGTTTCAGACAATTTTGCTTTGATAGTTGGTTTCAATTGTTCCAATGAATGTGTATTGTTATTGTTCAATGCCATCCGTACTTCTAAACCAAGTTGCTCAACTTTTGATATTGTTCCAATTTTCTTGTAAGTGTTGCGATAGGATCTTCTCATTACTTAGAGGGCATTTTAAATTTTAATTTTCCTTAATTAGTTGATAACTTGTTGAAGTGTTCAATAGATTCCAAATGTCCTGGTTGGGTTGCCACATTGTGTCGTGAATTTAATATTCTGTTTGTTGCATTCAACTGGCTAAGGCATATCAATTTTAACGCTTAATATATTTTAATTCTTAATATATAAAACCAATAATATTTATACATAACTGGCAATTATCCGTAACTAAAATACATTACTTAAGCGTTCCCTTGATACCAAGATATTTTTTTTGATTGATCTTGTTTATGACAAGATCAATCAAAAAAAATAAATAATTTAAATTTTTTGCATAAGAAATATTTAATTGTATAATGCGGTAGTGGTGCAGTGATAAAGTGCTTGCCTCATAAGCGAGATGTTTCGAGTTTGTTATCACCATGTACCAATGAGTTCTATAAATCTTTCATCTTGTACTTCTTCTTTGAACTCACTCTATCATCACACTACTTACTACTTTAAAGCTGACTGAGATTATTTTTCTTATTTTCCTTGTGGCAGTCCTTGGGCTGATGTCTTTTCTCTCTCGGCTGATAAATGTGCCTCAAATATAACCTCTTGGATCCAAGCAGAAATGGAAGTTTTTATTCCTTCTCGTTGATTCCAAATCAAGCCTCATTCTACTTCATGGTGTTCACCTTCTTGTGCAGCTGCTATATCTAATCATTATCATTTTTTAAAATCTTTTTCAAAAGAATAACTCTCTTAAAAACAACCCTCTATTTATTAATGCAAGAAGTCAATGTAAAAAGGTGCTGTCTGAGGCTAAGCTCCATTATTCCCAAATCACCAAGTTGAAAATTTTATCTCAGAAGTTAGGCTCTAGAGACTTTTGAATAATCTTCATTTTCATAAACAAGATTTATTAGCAAAAGTAGGTCTGACATTCTATTTTTCATTCATCAAATTTCTTGAGAACATTCTGACCCCTCCAACCATCATTCGATCAGTCTTCTCTCTATTATTAGCGATGTCTTTTAGTCTTTGATCAACAAATTTCTAACATCCCATCTTGAGTCATATAACTTACTGTCAGACAATCAATACAGTTTCCAATCTTTTCATTCTACAGCTGACTTGATAATTGCTTTAAATAAAAGATTCTATCATGCATTAGATGGAGGTGGCAAAAGCAAAAGTTTTCTATTGTGTATTATATGGAGGCAGTGAGACAAAAGCTATTGCTCTTGACATATCTAAGGCTTTCAATAAAGTTTGGCATGTCTTCTCCATACATTTGCTTCATATGGTTCATCCTGAAAACTTTCTAAGATTATCAAATTATTTTTATCTAACCACTTTATTAAAGGTCAACACTCTTCATCATTTCCAGTAACTTCTGAGGTACCTTAAGGTTCTGTTCTTGATTCTGTTTTGTTTCTTATCTAAGATAAGAAACAAAACAGATTAAAGATTACACATCATTAAAGATCTCTTTTATAACCTTACATCTAAAGTGGCTCTATTTGCTGACAATTCATTTTTATACTCCTTTGTTGACAATAAATCTTCTCTTTTTGATCACTTAGAACAGTCAGCCAATCTTAAATCTGATCTCACTTCTGTCACTGATTTGGGCTTGCAGTGGCCTACAAATTTTAACTCCAACAAAACTCAGTTATTTACTGTTGTAATACTGTAGACATTCCTATATTAATGAATGGCAAAGCTCTCATTGATTTCTCCTCTTATATCATTGTTCACTATACCTAACTCTCATGGAAATCATACAATCGTTGCCTTTCAAAACTATTTCTAGGGAGGCAAAGTTGGTTAATGAACAAATGATCACTCTATGGCTAAAATCATATTTGTTTTATTTCTATTTATTACTTTTTATAATTCAAAAATTTCTCTAATTTGAACTTTAATTTTTCCCAATAAAATTTAGATTAGAGAGATTGTACTGTATAAATATTTATTTTTTGAAAATATTTAACAATAATTATTTTAGTACAGTAGTGTGTATTAAAATAAGTCAAGCATTATAATTCGAGTTGATATTTATTTGATTATTAGTTGATATTTATCATATAGCAACTAAAATGGCTTGGTTTATTATTGTTTATAATTTCATAATTGTAGAAAAACTAAAATTAAATAATATTATTTTAATAATATTCAATTCACAATTTTTTAATTACAGTAGTTAAAAATACTAAATTTTTTCTTATTTTCCTAGCTGCATACCTAAACTTGTCTCATTTGGTAATGAGAAAGTCTTTATTCAAAATGTCCAATGTTCCAGTAATGGAACTGTGTTTATCAGTGATGCAGGAAATCTATTTGCATGTGGAAGGTTCATTTTTTTATATTAGTTTTATTTTTTTCTTAAAATGTTTTTTGGAAAAATAAAAATTTTTAATGCATTATATTTTTAGCAATCAAGGAAATAAATTAGGCTTAAACCCAAGACAAGGTTTTTTATATCAATTTCGTTCAAAGTCAAGTAAGGTGAAAAAAATTTTTTGTTACGAAACTTAAAATAAAACTAATGTTTTAATGGCACCTTATTGTTATTACATTTTATGTCTATTGTTAATATTTTATTGTGATATTAAGTCTCTTTGTTATGATTCAATTTTAATATCATGATAACATCTTACTATAATAACTCATGATTACACTGTTCACTCTGATGTCCCATCTTTCAGTTATGAGACTGTTTCACTGGCATTATATTATCTGATTGTTAAACACTATTTGCTGTATATGGTAAATTCTATTCATATGGGTTATGGCTACATGTTGTCAAAAAAGTTGTATTTTCTAAATAGTTTTTGCGAAATAATGCAAAAATAAAAGTTTTTGTTGAAATTTGATTTTTATTGCATAGATACGAGTGATATAAGTTTATGACTATATATCATGAATTTATAAAAAAAAGTTAAAAATCAAGCATACCACTTTATTGCAGTTCAGAATTTTTTGCTATTTTTTCCTAAAAAGTTCTCTTTTCTCAACCCTTTGATACTAATTTAACAATTCTTTGAGGATAATAAGCCTATATGCACTCGAAACCTAATATGCACTTCCCAACTATTAAAAAAATCCTCATCTCCTCAGTTTTGAACATTACCTCATTACCTGTCAATATTGTAGATGGTGATTCCTATTTACAAAAAATATTCAATTTCAAACTTATGTTAATGTGTCAGACAAATTAAGTTCTGAAAAAATCTAGTTTTGCTTTAACATTAAAATCTTTAATTAGTTGTTCAACGCTTGTTCTTCTTTGAGATATTATTTCATCAAACACTTTTGACTTCAACCTTGATTTTCTAAGAAACATTAGACTAGAAGCCCAGTGGAATACAGTCAATGAATCTGTAAATTATCACTCTCTTTAGTTTCCATGTCAAAGCCATATTTATTCCCCTGCATTCTAACATCTAGTTTTTCCATGTTTATATAAATATTAAAATTTTCTTTTTGCGGACATGTTTTATCTTCTACAGTAGTTTCCCAAATTTGAATAAAGTACTAATCACTAAAGAACTTGCATCATACTAAACTTTTCCCTCATTGCCATGCACAACCCAATTATCACAAGTTGAGTTGCAACTTTTCGCCTCAACATAGACTTCTCATCTATTAATTACAAAAGACTTAAGTTTTCAACTAGAGTTAATTCTTTTCTAATTCAATGATCACTGGTTTATTTCCTATTCTTCTTTATTCTTTCAGCATCTCAACATACACACATACACATATATATCTGAATATTTTATTTATGCCTCAATGAAATTGCTAGCTTCTTTTCAGTGTAAAACAGATCGAATTTTATTATCTTAGTTTTGCTGAAACAGTCATTAATGGAATTTGTCTTTTGGTTAGTTCTGTCTTACTTTAATCATGCTTTAGTAACGATTTTTGATTGATCCAATTCTGTAGTTTATTTTCATATTCTTCTCTAGCATATTAGCAATTTGTATAGCAATTTGTATATATTTAATATAGTTACACAGTATGTATTACATACTGCGTAACTATATTAAACAATCGGTCAAGAATTTCTCCATTTCCATTTTCCTCTTCATTCAATACTGGTATTGAATGGAGAGGACTTACTTTGGGTAACATAACAACAATTGGATCCATAATAGTTTCAAATTTTGATGGTAAAAACTCTGGCGATCTTATAACAAATGCTAAACACACCATCTTTTCTGAAAATTCAGCAAGATAGGCCAATCATTTTTTAGTCAGCCATAACATATCAGCTTTTCTCTGCTATTTAAGTTTTTGAAAATTTTTATTGCAATTATATTGGTTAAAAGCTACTAAAATCATAAATGCAGTAGTGGTTTAGTGGTAGAGCACATGCTTCATAAGAGAGAAGTTCCAAGTATGATCCAAGAGGAAGAAGAAGTTTCAAGTACGATCGTAAGAGAGAAGTTTCAAGTATAATATATATGTATACCATGTTCCTGGTTGTACTACATTCAACTTGCTTCTCTGGGCAGTGGCCTTGTTTATTAAGCTTTGTGTTTTAAGTTATAGAATTAAAAGTAGCTTCCTAGACTGTGGTGACCTTTTTGGCTGTAGGGAGGTGAATTAACATAAGATAGAAACTTTCAAATGCAACCACTCTCTCAAAACATATATGGCAAACTAGAGAAAAACTGAAAGAAACAATTAAAAAAAAAAATACACTGAGATTCCACTAAGAAATTACTTTAAATATGATTCCATATATAAAGAAAATAATGGTTACAATTGTAATCATCAATTTCTTTTGTTAAATAATCAATACCATCAAACAACCAATTAAATAACAATATACTCTATAAATTTAATGAAAATTATGATTTTCTTAATTTTTAATATTTTTTTTATAAATATATGATATATAGTCATAAATTTATATAACTCATATCTATGTTAATAGTTTTAAAAAAGCACAAAAAATATATTGAACCATTTAAATTTTTTTTTCAGAACATTGTAGAAAAAGCAAAAGTTCCAACATTAGTCAAGTACTCTTGTAAGTACCAAATATCTACTATGCAATTTGGAACAAGTCATTGCACAATGATGAGTGTTGATGGAAAGGTTTACACAAATGGGGAAAATGAATATGGACAACTTGGGTGTGGAAATTTAAAGCCTCGTGAATTGCTTTCTAATGTTAAAGGATTAGAAGAAGTTTCAGTTACTGTAAGTTTAAATAATGTTAGCAATTTGATATAAAAATATTGAAATAGACATTCATTGGTAATTTCATTTCAAAAACCTTTGTTAAGAAATATAAAAAATAATTTTGAAAGTTTGTGGTGTTGTATAATTGAATAAAATTATGCTTATGAATCAAAATATTACACAATTTAGCATTAATAATTAGATAATACAATACATTACAATTATTTGTTTGATGAAATAAACTTAACTTTGGCATAAATGTTAATTTCTTGTGTTTGAATTGATCTGTTTCTATTTCAGTTGTTTTTAAAATTTTTTTTGGATTTCTTGTGTTTCTTTAAAATTTTCCTCACTCTGATTTGCAAACTCTTGCTGGTTTAAAAGAACTTAATCTGTTTTACTAGTTAAAGTTTTTATTTAGATTTTTATACTTTTGGAAAAAGATAGTAAACATGATTTGTAAAACAAAATTTTATAATTTTGTTTTACAAATCATTTTACAATAACATTGATAACATTTAAACTTTTGATATTCATTTAACTTTTGTATTGTTTTTACTATATTAAGTTTAAGTTATCATTTAGTTATTTTGTTATTTTGAAATAAATCCAGTATTAAATTTGGATAATACTGATAATAGAAGCATCTTGTTAAAATTTCCTTATATTTGACAAAAGTGAAAAAAATTATAAAAACTAAAAAACACTTTCACTTAATGATGTCTGAGTCTACTTAATGATAATAATTCAGATAAAGATTTTTTTTTTAAATTTGATGAATGGTTTTTTAATAAAAAACTATTCATCAAATGTGAAAAATTAAAATCATGGAAAAAGTGTTGAATTTGAAATATGTACCAAACTCTCTAACACTGGCATTAATGCAATAACTAAATTTAAAAAAATCTAGAGTCATATGGTTTTGTTTAAAATGTCATAAGAGTCATATGGTATGTTTTTTTAAATGTCATAAGAGTTATATGGCTTTGTTATATTTTATGCAGATAATCTGCAGTACTTGAACTAGACTGAGCAATTAAAGCCCACGTAGAAATAGGAAATATATTCTTATTGAAAAGAAATTTTGTATAAAGAAGGATAAGTTATAAAAAAACAAAGAAAAGCAAACAGATGTTCAAAATAAATACAGATTTATTATGAGGAGAAAAAGCTTATACACAAATTACAGTCAACAGTAATTTTATTGTTAAAGCATACCAAAAAAATAACAGAATGCATAAGCAACATATATAAAAATATATGTTGCTTATGCATAAATTACCATAAATCTTCACAAATTAAAAACGTTTTTACTTACTTTAAAACAGCTATAGATTTGTTGTAATCTTATAAAGGTACAAAATATATTATCAGGTTTAAAAGCTACATATTATATTAGTTACAGTTATATACATATAACTTTTAACATATTGTAATGGGACCATTGGATAAGAAGCTACAATATTAACTTGTTTTAGATTGCATTCTTTTTTAGTTAGCTATTAAGGTCAGATATTTATCAACATATAGTAATAATATTGTTAGCTAAAAAGTTACCATATGTAGACACACAAATAATATCTTAATAAAATGGCAATAAATAGGTAAAAAATTTGCGATACTTATTTTATTCTAATCAGGGCTATCCTGAAGGAAGGGGGTGGGGCTTTGGAGTGTCATAGGGGTGTCAATTTGTATTTATTTTACATTTAAAATATTAAAAAGACTTGTCAACTTACTTTCCAATACAAGGCTTTCCAGTTCCAATACAAGAATTGTCTACTTACTTTCCAGTGTGATTGTATATATATACAAATAATGTATATATGTTTATATGTATGTATGTATGTATGTTTTGATTTTGTTGCAATTTGCTGAGGAAAAAAAAAGCTTAAAAATAAATTGTTTTTTTTTACATTTTTATTTGTAGACTATTGCATGTGGATCTAGTTTTAGCATGGCTGGTATTCACACTCAGTTAAAAGAACATCCATTAAATTTAATTTATTTTTGGGGAACAAAACCACAAAAGCGTAAGAAAAGTATGATACCAGAATCAAATTCCAAGCTCATTAGAAAAAGAAATTTATCTATGGTTGATGAATCTGATCAAAATTTTAGGTGTTTATATTTATTTATATTTATATTATATTATAATTATATTAATAAACAATTTATTTTACAAATCTATGTGTTTCTAATTTTTTTAATATGATCTATAACTATGGGAATTGAGATTAAAGATTTATTTAAGTTATCATATATATCAAATTAAAGATAGATATTTTATATTTGCCAGGAAGTTTATTCATATTTACAGACTGTGTACACAAACCAATTCCAATATATCTAAACAGAATGTAAAAAAAGTTAAAAAAATGATTAAATTTTAAGTAATAATAATCGATATGATTAATAATAATAATAATCGGCCATATCAGTTTAATCTTCTTATTTAATTCATAAAAATAAAAAAGGTTTTTAGATAAAATCTATATGAATTTCAATACCTAAATTTTATTTTATATAATTTATTAAATTATGGTAAATTAAATAGTTGAATACATTTTTTTTGTGAGAGCAAATATTGATTAAATTATCCAGATATTGGAAGGTAACATTATATAAATATTATTTGTGTCACATTTGTCATACTTAACACCTTGTTATCAATTTTGAAAAACAAGCTATTCAATGCTCTTTTTCTTAAACAAACATATAGCAACTATATGAGAAGCTATCTTTTTTTTTAAATAAATAGCAACTTTAAGCAATGAGATGTTTCAGTTAAGCAGTTCCAAAAGTCAAAAAAAAAAAAAATTTATTTGCAGCGAAATTTTTTTGAGAAAGTTAGTTTGATTACCATTTAAATAAATTTTTATATCATCTGCTAGGTAATCAAGGGTTCCAGTTATTCCTAATGAATCTACATCAATATGTATTAGAACCTCTAAATCAGTTTGTTCAATACCTCAAAATATTTTTTTAACTACTGATTAGGTTTTTTTTAAATGCACTAATCTTGTGTTTTATTCTCAGAACTTTTAACATCAATAGCTTATATTTAACATATTGATGTTAATTGTTTTTTTGGCAAACAGTCTATTAATTTATAGCTTGTTTAGATACTGTTGGTGTCTCCTAAGCATTACACACTAAATTTATTATTGAATCATATACTAGATTGCAAATGACAAGTTAATTCATTTATTACTTATTTAAATTGGAAATTATTTATTTGTTTTGAAATTGATAATATTAAGCAGTAATCAGAATTTGATTTGAAATTGATAATATTAAGCAGTAATCAGAATTTTTTTTCTGTTTTATTAAAAGTTCTATGCGCTGTCGATACCCCTAGGCAATGAAAGTGAAAAGTTATACAATTTTTTTACAGTTTTTAAATTAAAAAATTAAAAAAAAAACTTTTAAATAAACTTATAAACTTTTTTAATTTATAATCATTTTGATAAGTTCTTTCACTTCACAAAATTATAATCATTTTGGCAAGTTCTTTCAATTCACAAAATTATAATCATTTTGATAAGTTTTTTCATTTCACAAATTTATAATCATTTTGATAAATTTCTTATCATAATGAGTATAAAAGTAATGCACAAATTTAAGCTAGTGTTTACAAAAATAATTAAAAACATAAAACTTGTTTGGTTTTTAATTATTTTTGTATTTGCTTATTTTTACCAAAATATATAATACCTGTTTTAACTTAAATCTGCAAAACAGTTATTTTTATATAATCTAGTAATTTTCTGTTATTTATTTGATAATGGATGAAAATAACACCTTATCGACATATGATTGTAAATTTATAGATCTTTATTTTTAAAAAGTGTCAAACTATTTAGTACACGTGATGAAAGTGAAGTTTTGAGAAATTCATCCAGAACAAGCATGTCTGAACCAAACTCATTAAAACTATCTTTAGGTAAACAATCTCATTCAGTATTATTAACAACTTTATGGTTATTACTTACTACTAATTTATTTTTTTAATCTTTTAATTGGTTTGATTTATTTTAGTTTTATTTTGCAGGAGTGTCATCAGAAAAACTAAGTGATATTGATGATTCCACCAGAAAGTATTTAGAAGATATTTTAAAGGGTTTTTTTTCACAAACATTAAATCTGTCTACAAAACAAGGAGAAACATTTTCATCACCATGTGTTGTTTTTAGCATTGATTCAATAAGTGATGTTGAAGGTAATTTAGAATTTTTTATACTAAAATCTCATAAAGGCTGCAAGCTTATCACCAGGTGAGTTGGTAAATAAGTTATTTTGTAGAAGCAGTATAAAGCTACCATACGAAAAAATTTGTTAATTTTGCAAATTAGGAATATTCCAAAGCTAAAAGGTTTATAAAAAAACTTTATTTAATGAAAGGTATTTTGAAGAGGTATGACTTCACTAAAAAACAAGTTAAGATTTTGTAAGATATATATATATATATATATATATATATATATATATATATATATATATATATATATATATATATATATATATATATATATATATATATATATATATATATATATATATATATATATATATGAGGTTTTATAATAAGAACAAACTTGTCTTTTGTCCCAACCATGTAAACAATTTTTATAATAAAGAATTTACCTTATTTTAGTTGTGAAATATAAACTGTTGAATTTGAGATTCTTTCATCTTAGAATAACCACTTTCTGTAACACAGTTTTTTTGGTGAGTTTATCTTTTGAAAAAGAATTGATTAAAGTTCAAAATAGTAGCAGGGCAAGAAAGTCATAGAGAAGTATATGGTTTTAATAGAACTTATAGAATGAGAAAGATCATTGTTGTTATAAATAAAAGAACAAAAGAAGATTGTGGAATGAACTATTTAAAAACCTAAATCTATCAGTTCAAAGATATTCAAAGGATTATTTGCTGTGTCTTTTTACTATTCACAAAAAAAAATCCTAATTAGGGTCTGACAATGCACATAAGAAGAAGTAATTGTTGCACTATTAGTTTTTATTAAGAACTAATAGTCATGCTTAATACAAATTTTTACAATTATTTTATTAATAACTTAGACAAAATAGATAAGCTTAATACAACTAACAGTTATGCTTAATACAGTATTTTCAATAATTTAATATTATAGGGTTGTTGATGAAATCAGTTTCTCATCATCAACCTCTTTATTATCATTACCATTTTTTTTTCCTTAAGGTTATGAAGATGAAGATTTTCCTGTTGTTTTGAGGAGTATTTATTCCTCTCAACACCATGTTTTAATTCAATTTGAAACAAATGCTCCTCCCCCCAAAACTGTTGCTACAATGAAGAAAAGTGAAGAGACTACATATAGGTGATTATATTGGTGACTTTTAAACTTTATTTATAAACTTTTAACATACCATATATTGTTTATATATGTATATTTATATTATATATATAGGGGCTATTCTATGAATAAAATTTGGGCAGAAGTAAACCTCTTCCCCCCCCCCCCCAGCTCCTAGAGAAATTTAAAAGAAAATATATACAAATATATACATATATATATATATATATATATGTATATATTTATATATATTTTCTTTTAAATTTCTCTAGGATATATATATATATATATATATATATATATATATATATATATATATATATATATATATATATATATATATAACAGTTATACTTAATACATTTATGCTTATATTATATATATGGGCTGTTCTATGAATAAAATTTGGGCGGAGGTAAACACCTTACCCCCCACCACCACCACCACTACCTCCTAGAGAAATTTAGCAGAAAATCAGGGGGTTTTCCTCTTAACTTTTACATACACAATCTGATTTTATCAATCTCAAACCTACGTATTGGATGTATAGGTGGCATCTTCATGAATGTGTTGGCTTACGCTGATGATATGGTTTTAATTGCACCATCTTGGTCTTCTCTTCAAAAACTAATTAGCTTTACAAATAAGGAATCTTCCTAATTAACATGTCCTTTAACACAAAGAAAACTGTATGCATGGTGTTTAACCCAACTCAAAAATCAAAAATTATATCAAACTCCTTCCCAGAATTGTGCATATCAGGCTGTAAAATTGCTTTTGTTGAATCTTTTAAATATCTTGGCCATATAATTAAAAATGACAGAACTGATGAACCAAGGAGATGAAGGGTCTTTACACACGTACAAATATTTTAATTAGGCACTTTTATTTTGTATATTATTTATGTATATATTTGTATGTATATACATATACATATATATATATATATGTGTATACATATACATGCTATAACCAAGCAAACTGCTATAACCAGTTTGCTTGGTTATAGCAGCCGTTGCACTTTTTAATGCTTGTCATAAAGGTTCTTGAAGCAGTTAACTGATGAGGCGTTGACAACTTTTATTGGTAGCTTTAGTTCAGAAACCAGCTTTGTAGCTTGTCTTTAGACCTTTTCAATTAGTTTGATGTCTAATTGGTGGTAAGGATTCTAAACTGAGGACATATACTCTAGATGAGAATGGACAAAGGTTTAAAGTATTAAAATTGTTTTCATCTTTTAAATGACCACTTTAGATATGATTGTAATTCTATTTAAAATTGTGTTTTTATGACTTTTAAATACCTCGACAGTTGACAAAGTTTACTAGTTTTTTTCTAAAATTGAATAAAATCAACTAAAACATTTTTTAAATCCTAAAAGTTGATTTAGTTGAAATATGACAATTTTTTTTCAAAATAAATTGCAATAAAAATAATAAAGTAATTTTTACTTTTTATTTTTTAACATTATATCATTTAAGTATTAATGGAGCAAAACGATATACATGTTTTTTTTTTTATAAGCATAGGATTTATAAGCATATGGAGGCTCAGATTTGGAAAAAAAATAAGCATATGTAAGCATATTCCTGAGCCTCGATAAACCATTTAAAAGATTTAAATTTTATTTAATTAAAAATTTTAAATATATATATTTCTAAATTTAAGACTTCAAAAACAACAAAAATCGAAGTTTATGTTTTGCAGTGCAACAACTTTATGAAGTAAAGAAGTCATTGTAATGCAAAATCTAAACCTCAATACTTGACCAGAAAAACATAAAGTATAAGAGTTGCTCTGCAGTGTTTTATTTCTCTCTTTTTTTTTTTTTCTTTCTCTTTTTTTTCTTTCTCTCTCTCTTTTTTTTTTCTTTCTCTCTCTCTTTTTTTTCTTTCTCTCTCTCTTTTTTTTCTTTCTCGCTCTTAATGTGTAGTTTATTTAATACCATATTCAAAATGTTTATTTTATTTCTAAGTCTTATTTTCAGATACTTATTTTCAGTTAAAAATAGTAATAAAAATGTCAAAGAAGATAAAGAGAAAGCAGCCTACATTGGCAGCGTTTGGTTTCACAAAAAATGTTATGCACAGAGGAGAAATGTGTGCAATCTGATTGCCATTAGAAGCTGTCGAAACTAGTGTTGAATGCGAACATTGCAAAAAGTTATTCAAAAGCTAACAAGGACTAGCTTTTCATGTTAAAGTTATGCACGGAATTAGCAAACAAGCTTGTAAATATTCACAATCACAAGTTCTTCAAAGTAACAAAGAACTTGTCACTCTAGCAGTTAAAGATGTACTTGATAACATTGTCAACAAAGTTGTTAGTGCCATAAAAAAAAGTGAAGAGGCTAGCAAATTAGCTGGTAAGAAACGCCACCAATATACTTCTGCCTTTAAAGCAGAAGCAATTAACGCCTATGGTTATGAGGCAAATCAAGATACTATAGCAAATTGTTTCTAAAGGGAAGACGTTCCACAAAATATCTTGAACTATACAAAATTCTTTACAAAGAATTTTTACAAGCCAGATTGAAAGGTCATATTGTTAACTTTTCCTGGCTTTGGAGTAAAGCTAGAAATATACAATTAAACATTGATTCAAACGTGGTAATAAAACATCATGTTATAGTTCGATTTTTACAAAAAAAGGATTTAAAAATGAGATCGAAACAAAGAAACAAAAGGAAACATAAGAAAGAAATGGAACCATTATTACAAAAATGACATGCGACATACAGAGAAAAGTGTATCAGAACAGGTTCTAAAGATCCCAGCTATGACAAAAAATGGGGACGATACCAACCTGGACAAAGGCTCAACGTTGACCAGAGCCCACTTCCCTTTGTTGTTCATGGTAAGAAAACTTACGAGTATGTTCCCAAGGGTCAAGGTGCAACACAATACATGGATCTCACAACCAGGCTCAGGATTAGAAAAAAGGCAATGTTTTCTTCAAGTTATGTTTCAGCCAGAAGGAGACCAACCAAAGCTAGCTCTCATTTTTAGAGTTCAAGGAAAACGCATTTCAAAAGACGAAAAGTTAGCATGGCACAAAGGTATTCACGTTTACTTCCAACAAAATGCTTGTTTAGACCAAAACGTTTGTAAGCACTGGTGTGATAAAACACTCCTTCCATTTGTCAGAGAACAAAAGCTTGATAAATTTGTTCTTTTGCTGGACAATTTGAAGGGACAGATGCAGGAGGATTTTAAAGATGCTGTGGCTGCTACTAAGGGACTTCTCTGGTACGGTCTACCAAGTGCCACTGACCTTTGGCAACCAGTTGATGCCGGATATGCTACAACTCTGAAAAGGCTTATTGCCATTGAACATCAAAAATGGCTTGATAGAGATAATCATTCTGATAGATGGTTCAGTAATGAAATGCCCTACTCAAAAGAGAGGCGAATTTTGATTACACATTGGGCAGGGGAAGCATGGAAATCTTTAAACACTTTTAAGTATGACAAGCAAAGGAAGAAATGTTGGACAATGACTGGGTGTTTAATGACTTCTGATGGCTCAGAAGATTCGCTTGTTAAACCAGAGGGCCTTGATAGTTACAAAGTGCCCCCACCATCCATCATTGATCCTGGCAGTGATCAACCCAAGGGAAATCAAAGTGATATTCAACCGGTGGAGGTAGATGATGCTATAAATGAAGATGCCAACGAAATTCTTCCAGATGACACCTTTATGGGTCCGGATGAGAAGGAATGCAAAGTTCATATCTTTGATTTCATTGATAACATTTGTATATAGTATATATTTTTTACTTTTTATTATACTGTACCAAAGTCAACTTTTTATTTTTCTTATAACCTTTAGTAACGCGCGCACTTTTAGAAAGTATTGAAATAAGCATATTTTATTAGAAATATGCTTAAGTTTAAGCATATTTTTGAGCCTCTTTTAACTTTTTGCTTAAGCTTACCCAAGCCTGTTTCAAAAATTTCATATGCTTATAAAAAAAAAAACATGTAATAGCCAGGCCATATAATAATTAGATATAAGGATTTTAAGATTAATACTCTACTAAATTGACTTTTAGTCAATTAGTAAGAAATCTATAGTTGATTAAATCGTTTTTTCTTAGTCAACTTGTTTCATTATTAGGTTGAATAAAATTGACTTATAAGTCATAAATTTGACTTATAAGTTATATATATATATATGTATATATAAATTAGTAGAAAATCACTTAGCAAAATTTTTTCTCATTTAACACTGTGTTTCATCAATAAAGACTCATTAGAAAATCTATATATATACATATATACACATATATATATATATATATATATATATATATATATATATATATATATATATATATATATATATATATATATATATATATATATATATATATATATATATATATATGCTTATATTGTATATATGCTTATATTGTATATATGCTTATATTGTATATATGCTTATATTGTATATATGTTTATATTGTATATATGTATACAAGCATATATATATATATATATATATATATATATATATATATATATATATATTATTATTATTATTATTATTATTTTGTTTGTTTTCTTTTAAAGCATAGATGAAAAGACAGTTATAGAAAATTTTTCTGAAAGAGAAGAAGTAAGAATATGCTATTTTGCTTTTCAATATTTATCTTTTTGTCATTTTGTTACATCTATTCAAATTTCTTTTTTAATTTTTAATTAAGCAGTTTTCAAATAACTTTATTTTGTTTAGAAAAATTATTTGAATTTAAATGCTAACTTTTTTTGTTAAGGTACCTACTTGGTTACAAAATGAATTACAAGATGGTATTCCATTATCTAGTATTAAAGGCTCACAACCTTTTCTAGAAGAGTTTAGAGAAAATGTTTTAAAAGAAAAATCTCCACTTGTCAGATCTAAATCTATAATTTCAAAAAGAAGAAGTAGCCTAAGTAACAGCAAAGACCCAAATTTTAATTTAATTCCCAAAATTCAAAGACAAGGAACATTCACCCAAAAAGATTCCTTTTTTCAAGAAAGCAAGAAAGTTAGTGATTATGAAGTTTAATGTTTATTATGATATTTATTGTATTAAATTCAAAACATATTTGATTATTTACAAAATGCATTTCTTTTTTTATAATTTTTTTTTTTTTTTTTTTTTAATTATTCACCTCCCCAAGGCCCGAGGGGGCCACTACAGTCGAGGAGGCTACTCTTTTTTTTTTTTTTTTTTTTTTGCATAAATTATTTTTATTTAAAAGTTTGCTAATGAATAAAATGTTTCTTCAAATTTGCATAATTTATTTTTATGCAATGTTGTTTTGTGTTTGCAAGTGAAAATTTGGAAAAACTAAAAATCATGAAATAGTAAAACAAAATTTTTTTTAGGTTGATGGGTCAAAACCGCAAATTGTTCGTGATTGTTCATCACCAAGTGATAAAGTTAAGCACAATGTTGCAGCTAATAGTTCTGCTGATGTAGAGTATACACCTGTTGAAAGAATTGGTGAATCAATCAATAATGAGGTTACTTTTTTTTTTTTTAATCTTAAAAGTTATTAACGATACTTTTAAATTTTGCCAAAGGCTTTGCAAAATTTAAAAAGAAATTTTTTTTTAGCTATACACAATATTGCTGAAAAAATTTCAAAAACTCAAGTACAAAACTCAACTTTTTTTAGCTTTTAAACTCAAAATTTGTCAAAATGATTTTCAAATGCATTTTAAAATGTTACCCATTATGTTTAAAATTACAACTTACAAAAAAATAAAAACGAGTTTGTATTTTTCATTTTGTTGTTTTACTTTTCTTTTTTGTAATTAAATATTTTAAATCAATACCTAATATCGTTTGTTTAGAGTTTTGTGTCAATAAGAAATGCTGTTACCAGAATGTTTAGAAATGTGAAACAAGTTAACTCTTTTTGATGTTTGTTTTGTTGAAAAAAAGTTTTGTTTTAATGTTATTCACCTCTTCAAGGTTGGGAGGGTTACTACAGTTGAGGAAGTTACTGTTAAGTTAAGTTGCAGTCTCATTGAGTTTAGACAATTTTACTATAACCTCTTTTTCAAATTACAAAAGTTTATTATTATCTGACCATTTTGTGTTTCTTGAACTAGGTTCATAAGTAAAACATAGTTCTTGGCATTTTTTCTGGGAGCCAATTATTGCAGATTTAATAGATGGACTATGTCACGGAGAAGAAAAATCAATTGGGCATCAACTATAACCGAGATAAACCATTTTAAAAACCTTTTTGACTTGTTTTGTTATTGTTGCAAAAAATAGCAACAATAGAACTACTTCAACTTTTTATAGTTTCAATTCTTTGTATTGTTTGAACATATTGAAAATTGGCATTTAAACCTGTTGCTGGTAATGCCTTATGCAAAAACTATTTTTTACCAAAAAAAAAGAACAAATCATTAAAGCTAAAACTGTTTTTGCTACTTTGTTTGTGCAGGTTTACCAAAAGTATTACCTTTTTGACATAGCCATAGTTAAATATAAATTTCATCAGTTAGTAGAATAATCTTTTTTTGAGAAATGGAACATTAAAAATAACTTTAAAAAATTCAGACATTTTTACTTTTTGATGTCAATTTGTCATCAGTGACATATTTGCATTTATTGCGTTATTTATATTGCATTATTTATATTGCATTATTTATATTGCACTATTTTTTCATAATCATCATGTAATCAAATGTAAAGAATTCTTGAAATTCAAAAAATATTTGGACTATCTGGAACCATCTGGAATAATATCTTGAAGTAAACTTTTATCCATTCACTTTATTTAACCTTTTTTTTTTCATTTAAAAGGTGAAAAACTTTTACAGATTTTCATTGTAGTTACCTCTGAATCCATTGACATCATACTTAAAAACTTTATTTAATCATTCATAATATTTAGAAGAAAGCAGATTTAACATGCATTAAATATAATTTAAGTTCATCGTTTAAAAGGATTGATATTTTTATTTATTAATGTGTCATATTACAAATCAATGAAAAAAAAAAGTTTTTTCCTAACTCGTATGATTATTTAAACTATCAATGTAGTCATCGCCATCATCAAAAAAGACTGCTGTATCCTGGAATGGTGTAAGTTGGTCTGATATACTATACCTACTTACTGCTTTGCCAAGGTTTAGTATTTGCTTCCAATGAAAAGTGAATAGTGAAATAAAATCTCAAAAGACATAGAGTACTCAATGTTATCAGTCACCAATATAGGAATATTAATATTTTGTAGATGAGTGAGAAATGTAGAGGAATAAGAAATCATTTTAGAAACAGAAGCAGGAGTGATTTGGATATCTTACAGTTAGTTAACTTATTTTTTTTTAAATGACAGGAAAAATGTGGTGATTAGATTCAAGATATGAATTAACAAAACAGTTCTTGGAAGTGGTGATAAGATGGATTTGTTTTTGTTAAACCTTTTAAACTTTTGAGATTAAGGTTAGGTTTATCGATATCTTGCAATGATAAACACAGTTCTTGCAATGATAAACACAGTTCTTGCAATGATAAACACAGTTCTTGCAATGATAAACACAGTTCTTGTCATGGTAAAGACTGTTCTTGCAATAATTAAGACAGTTCTTGCAAAAAATATGAAAGTGATTAGAAATTACTGCAGCATATTACTGCAACATAATACCAAAACATATTGCTGCAACATATTACTTAAACATATTACTGGAATTGTTATTAGGGTTTTTTCTCATAGATTACCAAACGCTTGCCCATCTCTCAAAAGACTAACCCTAGGTTAGTGTTATAGATAACCCTAGGTTAGTCTTATAGACCATATGTATATATGGTCATTATGTCTCTGTGAATCCTATTTATTCAAAGTTTTTATTCTAGGCAGGTCACTTGCAGATAGAATTTATTTATTCATTATAATGAAATTTAATGATGATATTATTTTCTTTTAATTATTAAAACATTTTTTATTTCAGATTTCTTCTCCTAAAGTTTCTCGAAGTACTGAGTAAGTTTTTTTTTAATTATTTATATAATTATGCTTTTTTTTTTTCAAGTTTCACATATTTTAAACATAAATGTGATGAAGTTTAAAAATAAACTAAAAAAGTAACATATTGACAGTTTTTTAATTAGTAGTCTTGCATATTAGGCTGAAAGTAGTTTTCCCATATGCCATAGACTATTTATTAATATTATTATTTTTTTATATATATATATTTTTACACTAACTATTTTGTTATACTTGTGGTCATGCATAGTATTTACATATATATAAAATCATATCTATTTTAACTTAACTATGATTGTAGGTAGTATTACTGCTATTATAACAATTTTTTTTAATTAAATTGTAATTTCTAGTTTTAAGTACTTCAAGTTCTAAGCAACTTTAAAACCTTTTTTATATAAAGATTTGCGTAATATTTTTTCTAATCAATAAGGTGAAAAAATGTGTTTAATATTTTTAAGAAGTTAAGGGGTCGTCCATAAATTACGTCACGCTATAAGGGGGAGGGGGTTGGTAGTTTTGTGACAACTCATACAAACTTGCTTCTTAAGTGTTATGATTTTGTGACAAGGGGGAGGGGGAGGTCAAAATCTGTCAAAAAATGCGTGACGTAATTTATGGACGATCCTTTAGTAGTTATGAAATCTAAATTACTTAAAAACATTTATGTTTTTAAAATGTTATAAAATTGATCACCTAAATTTTTGACAGCACAAAGTTCAAGATAAAAACACTTCCATCTACTAAATTAAGGTATAATTTTTATTTGTACTAGTAACATTTATTTAATAAATATCATCATCATTATTATGATTATCATCATAATCATCATAATCACATCATACTCATCATCAGCATCAGTGATGCATCTTTATTTCAGTGCATATCCATCTCTGTTTTTTAAGATGCTGGACACATCAACCTTCCTTGCCCATGTTTTACTGCCATACGTCATAATACATGTGAAATGATTCTCTGTGTTTGGCCTGTATTATATATATATATATATATATATATATATATATATATATATATATATATATATATATATATATATATATATATATATATATATATATATATATGTATATATATATATATATATATATATATATATATATATATATATATATATGTATATATATATATTTATATATGTATATATATATATATATATATCTATAAATATATATAAATATATGTCTATATATATATATATATATATATATATATATATATATATATATATATATATATATATATATATATATATATATATATATATATATATATGATATATATATATATATATATATATATATATATATATATATATATATATATATATATATATATATATATATCAGGGTGTAAACTAGCCCTGTGGCGTCCCATCAAATGCGGTTTTCCCAAATGCTCATAAAGTTAAAATTCCCAATTTAAAGATGAAAAAATCTCATTCTCCAAAAAAAGTTTCCAAATTAAAGTTTAATAATAATTCTAAAAATAGTTTAAAATTAATTATTATTCAAAACTAATAGAAAAATAACATTAAAAAATTCTAATTCATTAGTTGCGTAAAACATGAAATCAAATCGCCAATGCGAAAATTGGTTTCTTGGAAAAACATCATGAGAATCCAGATATTTAAAGCAATTTTAGGGATTTTTGTGGCAACTCACAATAAAGTTTGAAAATAGTTTTTTGCATTGCATTCCAACAACAGCAAATATTATATAAAAAAGTTAACAAGAAATAAAGTACTAATGTAAAAGGTCAAAACTTATAACAAACTTGTTTGGTTTAACACGCGCAAATGCTATTTCTTTAAAAGTTTCACCCTAAAAAGTTAAATAACTTATTACGGAAAGTCTTTTAGTTATTGTTTTTTTTTATTTGTTTGGTATTTTATTATATCAACTGAATTTGTTAAAGTTTTTTACTATTTTACTGGTATACTTTGATGCCACGCGTGGCATCGAAGAATACCAGTAAAATAGTAAAATACTTTTTTTTATCTTTAAGTAAAATACTTTTTTTTATCTTTAAGTTCATTTTCTATTTTGTCAAGTTGATTTTTAGAAATTTCTTCAAATTCATTCATTCCACTAATGTGCTGTGATGTTTTAATGTGAGCAACAGTCAGATAGTTATTTAATTTTGTTATCGATTCTTCAATATTAAGAATACTCTGAATGAGAAATTTGTTGTATTTACCAGCAATCGATTTTTCATTTAAATCATCAAATGTGATATCTTCCCATATATTAAACTGAGCCTTACACTTAGTTTGAGTAATAGTTTTTATAGTCTTCCACATAGCAACGCTGTCATTTTTAAGCATTTCAATTTTAGTTTTAAAATACTCTGCTTTTAGTTTTCTCAATAGGTTTTGATATTTCTACATTTTTTTATAGACTCTGTATTATTTGAGACAATTTTCTTTGTTCACTTCAAGTTTTCTCATTGTTTTAAATTTACTCCACTCTAGACTCACTTTTTTACTTGCTATCAACAACTTTAGATCACTCATCCATTTATAGTAAGAGTTGTTATTTGAATAGTTTTTGTTTGCACTACTGTGTTTATAGTTTCTAATATATTAAGGAATTGTTCAGCCATTTCATCAATATTCAGTTTCCTGAATTCATCCTTTTTTTTATATTCATCCTTTTTTTTCTGTAAGCTTGTCTATTAATGCTTGATTTAAATTTTTTATAGTCTGTTTTGTCATACATAGTTTAATTTCTTGTTGATTCAGTTTTCATAAATGTTTATAAATTCGATCTTATTATTTTTTGAAGATGATTTATATACACAACTTACAGATATAGTTTTATTTATAACTTTAAGTAAAACACTTATGATCCACCACTTCATTTCTACCATATTTTGTTTAATGTCTAAAATTTTAGTATCTTCTCTGATCAAAAATGTACATCCACCAGTATGTGTACTAAAAGATAATACACTTCTGGGGGTGTAATGCTCAAATTGAATTTCACAATCCAAGTATATGTCACTCACATGTGTTACAGTTAAACCAATAACTTCAAGTTTATATTCTAGTAGATATTTTTTAACTTCACTTTTTTTATGAATAAGACCATCAATATTTAACAACACACATTTAAGTTCTCTAGGTAGATTTGGTTGCTATTGAATCTTTGAATTACTCTCATTCGTCATTAATTATTAGACATGTGTCTCTTGTGTGCATATAAATATATGTTTTATAAAAAAAATTATTGTAAAAACCCTAAAAAAAATTTTTTGAAAATGTTAAAATAAGCAAGTTTTTATGCAATAAAATCTGAAATATTAATATTTATATAAATAGAATACTATTTATATGAAAAGAATACTATTTTTGAAATTATTTATAAAATTTTGCTTCTTTTGAATAGGTTGGCATACTTTTAAAGAAATTTTTTTAGAAAATTTAAGGGACCTGTTAAATATTCAAGAGTCGTTTGGGATCCCTAAAAACATTTTTTATTCAAAAATATTTTAAATCCTGTGTTATTTTATTATATAGAATGAAACCTATTATATATATATATTTATATATATATAAAATATAAACCTATTTTATATATATATATATATATATATATATATATATATATATATATATATATATATATATATATATATATATATATATATATATATATATATATATATGAAGATATGAAGACTACAGGAGAAAAGGCTCATGTCACACATTTTCACTTTTGAGATAAATGAAATTTTGTCTTTGAAAGTCTCTTTGTTTGTTCTTACTGTATTTCTTGGGACACCAAGTGTTTTGTCTTATAGATGTATCACTTCTTTTGTATTTATGAGAAGTTCTCTGTCCAGATTGTATAATTTAATTAAATATGGAGGATTTAAACCACTAGGGGTGGTCATGGACATGTGCCTTTTTTCCCTTTTACAGACCACTCACTTAAGACTTTCTTCTACAAGCTGAGTTGCAATGTACCCAGTCAATGTTAAATGTATTATAATGCCTATTTTGCTGTGGTAAATGACTAGGGGAATGATGGAACTGAAGTTGATTTTGTTTTTTTTTATGCCTGTAAGAGTGATTATTCGAATATGGACACACCATACCAAAGCAGATTTTTTTACTTGTTTATTACAAAAAAATCATTACTATTGACAGTGATTGAGTTTTTTTTTTACAACATTTTGATGCAATAAGGCTAAGACTCCTCATCCGAATCTGATTTTTCCTCATGGAGGTTGTTTGGCATGCTGCTATCATGAGGAAGATTGTCAAAAAATGCATGGTGCCTTGGGTCGCAGAACTTTTTTAACACCTGCAGGTCCTCGAACTTGGCCAGGGATATTGGTAGTGGGTGAAGGTAATTCCTCTCCATGTCAGACTTTAACACCGTTTCGATATTTGCTGGAAGAGTCTTCCTCCTAGGTGATACAACAGCAGACTCGTAATGCCCATGCCAATTGTTCCTGAAATACATGAGCATAAGATGGTCTATAGAGAAAACAACTTCCCTGATTGGACGGGTTGGCACAGGGCAGGTTGGTTTGAACAGTGGTTTCAGGTAAGCTGCTACTTTGAAGAAGCTCTCCTGGTCCATTATGATCACATTGTAAGGGGAAGGCCTCACACGAGCACTCCTAAATTCTTCCACCCACTGATCAAGAACATCAATAGGGTTTGATTTGTTTACCAAGCTCAGATCTTGATCACATTCCATATAAGAGTGACCATGGATTGGAAATGTTACTTTCACTTTGTCAAACCTTTTCCAAAGATGCACAAGGGCATATAAGAACCTAAAAACTGTCCAGTTTTTGTTTTGGCCGGCACAACCATTACAAAACATTTCAATAATCCTCATATTCTATGGAACATTATGTTTAATGAAATGATATAGGATTAAAGCCATATCGTCTGATCCACAATTACCAATTGTTTCATCATATGTGTAGATGTACACATTATCCCCTGCAACCTCGTGAATGTTAAATGAGTGCAGGGACAGCTGGCGTCAATAAAATCCATCGTTGTTGTTCTTGTTTGGTACAGGCAACTCCTTCTGAAAATCAAAGGTGATTGTGAGAGAATTTTGATCTTGTTTACATGCGTTCTTTGTTGCTCTTTTCCGCTTGTAGAGTATTTCTGCTTTGCCTTGATGAAGCTCCTTTTCTGCTGAGAGTTTAGCCTTCTGTGCCTGTAAATCCTCTTTATCACCAGAACGTGCAAAAAGCTGGGAGTCAATGCTGCTAATTTTTGCTTGAAACTCATCACAGGCAGAACAGGTGTCAGACCTAGGGTACCCAAATGAAATATTAAAGTTTCCGTTGAATATGGTTCTGTAGGACTCATATGAAAGGGTAGCATCAGGATGCTGCTCACAGAAAAGATTAAACATTTTCATAATGTTAAGTGTTTCTGGCAGGTAGAGGCGACTAGATTTTTTGCGTGAGTAGTGAGATGAACACCTCTTGAAAGAGCCAAAATGAGCAATCAAAAGCTCTCTCATATCTGCTGTCAGCTTTTGGACATGGTTGCTGTGCTTCCCTCGCTTGTCTTTCGGTGGAAATCCTGTAAGAAACACACAGGACCATAATTGTGAGACCACAGACAAAAATTTTAGAACAACAACAACAGTAAAACTACAAAAAGCACTAACAATAGCATACTACTATTTTGGGTTGTGAGGATCAGCTGCTGTTAGCATAACTAACTTTCGCTAATCCATTACAAATAGTTAGGGATTAGCGTTAGTCCTAACAGAAATTTATTAGGGATTAGCAAAACTCCACTAAAATTCTCCTAACCATTGTGTGCTTTATTTTTATCTCGCGGTGCCTAGATTCACCATCGAGTTGTGTAAACATAGGCTATTATAAGAATAGCCTGTCAGTATCACAATAAGAAAAACAACAACATAATTGACAATAATAATAATAATAATAATCTAGGTTGCTTACCAGTTTCTTTCAGTGCTGTCTGTATTGTCCTAACTCGCTTGTGACTGATTCCAAATATGGCAATAAATCCCTTGACACAGACATCTACTTCTTCAACTTTGTTATCCCATTGAACCTTGATCATATAACTGTAGGATTTGTCTTTTGGTTTTGGATCTGTGCCATCTATTTTTGGTCTTATTCTTGCAACATTTAGCACATTAATTTGTGTAGATAGAAAGGCGTCTTGATCATCTTTGTTTAAATCTCATTAAAAGCAGTAATGAGACGGTCTCTCTCTTCTCTTGTTGTGGCCTAAAAAAATTTAAATCGTTTGCACTTACAGTCTTCTCCTGTTTGATGACTTGAATTACGTACTTTCTTCAACTGATCTTTTTTTCTGCCAGATGATTGGCGTTTTTTTGGCTTATTTGTAAAGCATGGAGGTTTGTTGATAAAATGGAGGTTGCGGATTGGCTGAAACTAGTCACATGACCTTTCTAGGAATTGTTGTTTGTGACATAGGCCTTTTTTCCCCCTTACATTCTGGACTTGTGCCCTTTTTCCCCTCCATGCCATTTCTTTGGGTCTTTCTATAGCATTATATAGGTCTCTTTTGGTTTTTTTTTTTTTTTTTATTATCTTTGCTTCGAACAAGGCTGCAAGCAACCACTAATTAGTGTTGGAAGTTACTGAGAAAAGATGAAGATTGTAGAGCAAGATAATGATTGACAGACGACTTAAAAGAT